AAGAGTAGCCCAGCCGGCGTGGCTCAATGGTTGAGTATCAGCCTATGAACCAGGGGGGTCACAGTTCTATTCCTGGTTAGGGCACATGCCTAGGTTGTGGGCTCAATACCCAGTGTGGGGTGTGTAGGAGGCGGCCAGTCAGTGATTCTCTCTCATCATTGATATTTCTGTCTCTCTCCCTCCCTCTCCTTCCTCTCTGAAGTATATATATATATATATATATATATATATTAGAGGTCCGGTGCACAAAAATTTGTGCACTCGGAAGGGGGCTCTCTCAGCCCAGCCTGTGCCCTCTCGCAGTCTGGGAGCCTTCGGGGAATGTCCACTTGCCAGCAGGGAGCAGGCCTAAGCTGCAGTCGGACATCTTTAGCATTGCTGAGGAGGTGGGAGAGGCTCCCACCAGCACCACTGTGCTGGCAGCCATCAGCCTGGGTTTGTGGGTGAGCAGACCTCCCCCTGTGGGAGTGCACTGACCACTGGGGGGCAGCTCCTGTATTGAGCGTCTGCCTCCTGGGGGGAGTGTGTATCATAGAGACGTGTCATTCCCAGTCGCTCTGCTGTTAGGGGCAATTTGCATATTACCCCTTTTATTTATATAGGAATAGAGGCCTGGTGCATGGGTGGGGGGGCTGGTTTGATTTTGCCCCTGAAGGGGTGTCCCCGGATCAGGGTGGGGGGGTCCCACTAGGGTGCTTTGGGCCAGCCCTGGGGGGAGGGGGTTGAGGGCCATTTTTCAGACTAGGCCAACACCCCCTTTCTGGGGTGGGGGTTCCCCCACTTGAGTGCCTTGGCCAGGCCTTGAAGTGAGGGGCTGATGGGTTGTTTTGCAGGGCTGGGCCACAAGCCCCTTTCAGGGTGGGGGGGGGGTCCCCCCCTGGGGGGGCCTGGACAGCCTGGGTGAGGGGCTGATGGCTGTTTGCAGGCTGGCCACGGCTCCCAGCCACCTAAGCTCCCAGTGGAGCCTGGTTGGAAGCAGGTATCTGGGATTTACTTATCTTCTATAATTGAAACTTTGTTGCCTTGAGCGGAGGCCACAGTTGGCCAGGGCAGGTGGGAAGCTTGGCTTCCTCCATTGCTGAGGCAGCCAAGCCTCCTGCTTGCTCCAGCTCTGTGGCTGCCGGCCGCCATCTTGGTTGGGTTAATTTGCATATAGTCGCTCTGATTGGCTTGTGGGCATGACTTGGGGTGTAGCAGAGGTGTGGTCAATTTGCATGTTTCTCTTTTATTAAATTATATATAAATATAAATATATATATATATATATATTTTTTAAGAGTAAGTGTATACAGAGAAAAGGTACAAGAACAGTTTTTGTGTTTTTCTGTCAATGTTTGAAAATTTGATGGAAGTTCAGATCAGGCAGATTATTACATTTAACCATAATTATGGCTTTATTGGACAAATATATTACAAGGTGAATAAGAGTCAAAAAGTGGAATATTTATTTAAGAGGTGAATATATCAATGAACTATGGATTCTAGACTGGGTAAGTAGCGTGGAGTCAGAGTTGATAGAGTGAAAATATTAAAGAACATGAGCTGAAAGGATAAGAAGTGTTGGTCAGGAATGGGAGGCTTGAAAGCTGGATTTTGGTGATGTTGCATTTGTTGGTGATGCTAAGAGTGGGAGTAGCAGTGGTTTGGTGGAAGAAAAATATCATTGGAGGTAAGGAAGTCAATGAACTTAGAAGCCAAGAAGTTGGTAGAGTGGTTCGCATGATGTTGAAGTTTACAAAAGGCTGACAGAAATAGGAATGAAAAAGAGAGTGAAACAGGTGCTGAAGTTTTCAATAAATGAAAGATGACTAGGAGGTCAGTAAATTATATTAACGATGAAGATATTGTAGTATGGTCTAGCAGCACCCATAAATTCAGACTCAGTTTAACTGGGGTGAGACCTAGCCATCAAACATTTTTTTGCCATTAAACTTTTTAAAAGCCTCTCAGAGGATTCTGTTGTGAACCAGGATTAAAAATCACTGTGCAAACTGGAAGGTGTGGGGCCATTGGAGAGTAAGTGTCTTCTGTAGTTCCTGGGGAGAGTGGAGGCCAACAGCAGACAGGATATACTGTCTCATAAAATTTAGTAAATACAGAGAAGTTACATAACTTGCCCAAAGACAGAGTTCAGAAGTTTTGGGGCTGGGATTCAAACCTTGGTCTATGTGACTCCAAAGCCTTACTGTCTTCACTTTACTATGTTATCTAGGGGAAATATTTTAGCTTAGAAGATACAGAGAGATATCTTGGAAATAAATGTAAAGTTCCCAAATCAGATTCTAGTAGGCCTCAGTGGGAGGCAACATGTTTCTGGAATGATTCCAATATCTACCTCTCTATCTACCCTCTCTTTATTCCCCTTGATCTTTCTACCTTTGTTTGTTTCCTTTCTGTAGTTGCCACCACCTCCTCAGGAAGGAGAGGAACTACATGAAAAGGAGCCAACATTGGGAGCTGCCCCATGGATGCCAGTTGACCTCAATATCCCTCTCCCCCAAGTACTGTTCTCTGGGGGCTCCTTTCTGTAGAGGGAGGAGGAGCAGGACACAGTGCTACAGTCAAAACCAAGCATTTTGTCTCCTCCTACTTCCTCCTGACATATCAGCAGTTCTGTATAATGAAAATCTAAATCATTTGTGTGCATACATAGCAACTGTTTATTTGATGTTAGCTTTGAGGACTCAGTGGGGGTTCAATGTGTTTAGAAAAGAGATCAACTCTGGGAGAGCCTAATCTCATAAGTAGACAAAATGAAAATTAAATCTGAAAATGCATCTCTCTACATCTGAAAGAGAGGCCAGTAATAAATATTCTTCAACATCAGCACCAATCCAGCTTTAAAAAAATGCTTTCAAACCAAGGACACAGGGCAGAGATGACTTTTTGGAAGTGTCCTGCCTCCTGTCTGTTAAGAAAGCTTTACTAGGCCTGGTTGGAGATTGATTGTGAGTTCTAGAAATAGCACACCTTTCCCCTCAAGCCACCAAGTGGGATGCCTTCCATCTTTTACAAATGCGTTCACTACTGTGTTTATTGAAACTCCCATTTTTTTCCCACTGACAGTCTGCCTTGGGACTTAATACAGTCCTACAGCTTCTCCACATTAGAATTTCTACCAGGAGTGAATGCCATACTGAAGAAAGTATCCTTATCACATTCTGAAGGGGCAGGCCTTTCCCTTTTAGGGTAATTCGTTGGACAGTGTATAAAGCCTCTGCTTGCCAGCAGCTTCCTCATCCTCTTACCCTTCCAGGGTTCCCCTCCTCCAGAAACCTCCTATTGCCACCTCTTCTTGCAGAAGCCAGAACTCCTTTTTCCCAGAGGCCAGAGCCTGTCCTGTCTGTCTTGGTTCACAGCTCATGCTCTTGCAAGGTGAGAACCCACTGCTGGGAAGACACAGAAGCTATAAATGGAATGGAGGGCTTACTCCCCATGGGGAGCAGGGATGATGGGTGATATTAGGAGAGGGCACCACTCAAGACAGACCTGAGTGACTTAACACTTGCGATATACCAAGGGCCACACCAGGTGTAGAAATTGTAACCCTGCAGACACAGACACATGCCAGTCAGGCAGTTGCTGCCCATCGACCATTTCTGCTAAACGGACTCTTAATGAATAGTCAGTTGTTTGTGAGCTAGCCTGGGTGAAAAACCTCCCACCTCTCTCAGCCCACCCCCCCACCCGCCACACACACACATAAGATCTAAGTGGTTCCAAAAATCAGGAAGGACCCATGGTTAAGCATTCCATTTGTGTACATGCAGGGAGCATGACAACCAGCCAGGCATAGGACAAACCAGTCTCTGAGGTCCTCCCTTCATTTGTTCAGCCCTCCACCTGACCTATGGGCTCTCCTTCCTCTGCTCAACAGAAGCCAGACCAGGTAAGCTTAGCTTTCAAGAGCCTGCTCCAGACCATAGGGAAAAAACAGGCTAATCAAACATCTATGCAAAATACAAGGCCTGGCAAGAAAAATATCAGACGCAGGCAGGAAGGAATTTAAATTCAAACTGAACAAGGGACTGGATCCCTCTTTGAATGTAAGGCCCTGCAGGCCCAGTTTCTTGACAGAAAAAAAAATCTTTTTAAATTCTATCCTCTTTTCGTGGAAAAGGAGAGGAAACATTCCAACTGACTAGGACCTTATACAAAGTGACAGTCATTTAAAATGGCTCTTTTTAAATTAACCCTTTCTTGAACAGTCACTTCTCTAGGGTGCAACTACTTCACCGGTGTTTAGGTATCTGGGCCAAGGAGAGCAGCAAAGCATTGACTTCTTGGGAAGCAATGGGTTAGGGATTGGTAGCATCAGGAGCTAAGAACACTCACTGAGCTGCTATTTTCCATTTGCCCCTCATGACCCCAAGGTCCTTTCTCTGCCTTTCTCTGCCATGCTTTGTGCCAAAGGAACCTGACCTCAATGGACTGTAACAACAGGGTTTCTTGTACCCCAACACTCTGGAGTAATTAAAAATAAAAACAGAAGAGCTGGCCTTTTGAGTCATAGGCCCTGCCTAATCCCTAAAGCTGTAGTTATGGAACAGTAGAGCTGGCCTGAATTAGTTGGGTGTGGGGGAGAGACAAATTCTGTCCCTGAGCGACAAGTTCTTCTATACCATCCATCAGCCTTGAGCACATTTGGGATGGTGGCCAGGCCTAAAAATACATCAGCCCTTGGTGACATCAAGGCTGTATTCTTTTATGTCTAGCTCACCCCAGATGGAGGGGAAAGCATTTGATGAGCAATTTTTGAAATAGGCAGAGAAACTTATATCATGGTAGGAATGACTACAGGGGCAAAAGGCCACTGTGGATTTCCTACTCAGTAAAAATGAACTCTGATAGAAATTTCAGTAAGGAGTCAGCAGAAACATTCTTGTCATCATCATCATAAAACCATGTTTATTGAGTGCACAACAAATGCTATTATATGCTCAGAACATTTAATGAACACCATTTCTGAATATATAAAGGACTAGAGAATACTTGCCACTATATTTTAATGCCAGTCACCAAGCCAAAACACAAAATGAACTCTTATGAATATTCTAAAGCATAATGAGGAAGGGGTCTTAGACTAAATAAGTATCCTTGGTTAATATTTTCCTTATTGATAATTACCCTCACCACAAGCTTTCTCACAAAAGAAAAGGAAAAGAGGCCAGATAAAAGAGGAAGAGTCAAGGTATAGTCCTGAGAAAGTCTCAAGTATTTGATCAGTGGCATGTTATAGATAGTAATCAATACTAGGGGGAGGGCCATAAGAATGGAATGGCAGGAACCAGCCCTGTTCATCTCCTTGTCCCTCCCTGCTCGAGTGTTCTTACCTAGCTTTGTGCAGTTACATTTCAAGTGAGGATCTTCTCCTTATTTTTCATAAAGGAGTACTTTGGGACTTGGGGGCTAGTGGGTACTCACCAGCTAGGTAAACATTGGAGAAAATCATATATCTTGATGAATTTTGTAAGTAGTCACTGACCCACTGGCTTAAGGGAAAGTGAAAATGAATGACTGGTGAGTTAAAAAGCATGCAACTCTAGGCTACACTGCTGACAGGTGGGTGGCAACTGGTCTAGTCTTAGTACCTCTTTTCAAGGCTCCCTTCCTTCCTCTTTCCCACCCTTTCCAATCTTCCACCAAAGCTCAAGGCTTGAGGCAGTAGTCAAGCTCCATGGCATAAGAATTGGTGTTCCTCATGATGCTCTCCACCAACATTACAGGTTTGGGGTTTCTTCCAGCAAAGCAAGAGAGCCAGGTACAGATCAACATGGCTGCAGCTGCTCCACCTCCAGCACAGTAATAGGCCCAACCAAGCCTACAGGTACCTGTAGAAACAGGGACAGAGACATGAGGATTAGTGTAAGAGTAGGAAGCAGTGAATGCAACTGGGATTCCCGTGTCCTCTTTTCCTCCTTTGCCAGTGGCTGATAGTTGCTTTAGCAAGAGGTTATAATGTTATTCTGTTACAGTAGGAATCTGGGAGTGATGTGGATGGTGATAGTGGCGGTGACACTAATGACAATGATAATAAGACAATGATAAATTGTCAAGAACTAGGCTAAGATTCTCAGACATATTAGTGCATCTCCTTGATCATTACAATAACTGTATGAGACAGATACTTTTATTATCCTTTTTTTATACAACGTGAAGCAATCAAGGCATAGGTTAATAGTGAAAAACAACAAAGCTCGAAAGTCATAGAGTCAAAAATATAAACCCTGGCTCATCTTGATTCTAACACCACACTTTTTACCACATTGGTATACTACAGTGCATGGACTGTTTTCAAAGAAAAATATCCTGCATCATCAGGAGATTTGACAGGTAAAATCATATATCTTGCCACTTACTCTATGTCTCTCTCCCAACCTAGCTTTTCAACATCCAGGGAAGAAATATACATTGGAATCAAGGCCAAGCTACTAAGCAGGTAGTTTCAGTTTGAAGGGAAATGGGAAAGGTCATCTGCTCAAAAAATCTACCCTACCACCTGACACTCTATCAGAGGTATATTCTTTCATTTGAAGTATTTGTGTGTGTGTGTTTTTCAGAGAATTTTCTTCAGAGAGTTATCCCTCGGAAAATGACGATGCCCAAAGATAGGAGAGCTATTATTTTACCAGGGATCAAAATAACAACTAAATGTAAAAAATCAAATGCTTAAGCAAACAGAACTCCAGAAATTGGGATAGATGCCTAGTGTTAGAAAATTGCGGAGGAGTCCTGAGAAAAGAGGTAAGCAGCAACCTTCACCTGCCTCACAGTCTTGGAAAAACCCCAGTACCGACTACAGTCAGTTGGGAATGTCAAGACTGATTTTTGTAACAATTTACCTATTATTTTTATTTTTTTCAAGTTGTTTAATTGTGTTTATTTGTTGTGACGATGAATGAGTAGTGAACCTTTGTTTTCTTTTATTGGTGACCACTAAAGAGGTCATGTTTTAAGGCATGAGAAAAAGTACCCCTCTTACTGATTCAGTTTCTGAGAGGAGGCTGTTTCTTAGGATCATATGGGAACTGGGGAGGGAATATAGCAGCCATGAAAAGGAATAAAATATAGATTGAAAAATAAGACCTCTGAGAAAAAGTTAGAAAAAAATAAGATCATTTAATTCTGGAAAGGAGAAAGCTGTTGAGATAGTTTAATAAATCATAAGTTATTGAGTCTTTTATTGAACGATTTAAATTAAGAAGGAATATAACAAACTGTTCTCCATCTCCAAGAAGGATAAAATAAGAGGGAATAAGGGTCTTTAAGAAAAAAGAAAAAAAAGACACCATGAATAGTTTAAGGTTTAAAAACTTGGGTAGGAATCATTATGAAGCCTTCAATTTGATTTTGATTTATTAAGAGAATAAAAATTTAAATATTATAGGATATGCTAAATTGCTTTTACAGGTTCTTTCTAAACCTTTTTTTAACTCAGGTTGGAACAAAGATATCATAAAGAGCACTGAAAGTAACATTTGAATTTCACTCATATCTATAAGAATTTAGCTTATAAGGTGAATTTGTTGAGCAGTAGATGCATGAGTGCAGTGAGTAAGACCTACTTAGATGTTATTTTTTATCTTAGATTATTTTATTTTATTTATTTATTTTTATTGTCATAATTTTATATATGTCTCCTTTTTATCCAATTGACCCTCCACAGCCATTCCCACCCCAGGCAAGCCCCACCGACCCAGTGTCTGTGTCCACTGGTCATGCTAATATGCATGCAAACAAGTCCTTTGGTTGATCTCTAACCCCCCCCCCCCCACTCCCCTGCCATTTGTCTCTGGATCAATTCTTGTTCATCAAATTATGTTGATCATTATATTCCACATGTGAGTAAGATCATGTGATATTTATCTTTCTCCAACTAGCTTATTTCGCTTAGCATAATGCTCTCCAGTTCCATCCATGCTGTTGCAAATGGTAAAAGTTCCTTCTTTTTTTATAGTGGCAGTAGAGGTCCAGTGCATGAAATTCGTGCACTGGAGGGGGGGTCCCCTCAGCCCGGCCTGTGCTCTCTTACAGTTCGGGAACCCCACAATTGATTGCCCTAAAGAGGTAGGCCCTACCCACCCAGCTGGGGCTCTGTAATTGATTGCCCCCACAGGGGGAGGCCCCGCCCACCTGCCACAGCCCGCTGGTTGGTGGCCTGGGCCTCCCTCTTTGGGGCGATCATGGAGTCCCCTGATTGATTGCCCCACTGGCCAGTCGCCTGGGCCTGCCTCTGCAGGGCAATCATGGGGAAATGGCCAGGCCCCCGACCAATCGCATTGCACCCACCTTGGCTGGCCAGGCACCAGTGGGTGTCATAGCGTGGTCATCCGGAAGGTTGTACAGACGGTCATTCTTCTGTTAGGTCCTTTGGCCAATTTGTACATTACAGTTTTATTATTATAGATAGTATTTCATCATATAGATGTACCACAGTTTTTTAATCCACTCATCTGCTGATGGGCACTTAGGCTGTTTCCAAATCTAGCTATGGTAAATTGTGCTGCTATGAACACAGGGGTGCATATATCCTTTCTGATTGGTGTTTCTGGTTTCTTGGGATATAGTCCTAGAAGTGGGATTACTGGGTCAAATGGGAGTTCCATTTTTAATTTTTTGAGGAAACTCCATACTGTTTTCCACAGTGGCTGCACCAGTCTGCATTCCCACAAGCAGTGCATAAAGGTTCCCTTTTCTCCACATCCTTGCCAGCACTTGTCATTTGTTGATTTGTTGATGATAGCCATTCTGACAGGTGTAAGGTGGAATCTCATTGTTGTTTTGATTTGCATCTCTCAGATGATTAGTGACTTTGAGCATGTTTTCATATGTCTCTGGGCCTTCTGTATGTCCTCTCTCAAAAAGTGTCTCTTTAAATCTTTTGCCCATTTTTTGATTGGATTGTTTATCTTCATTTTGTTAAGTTGTATGAGCTCTCTGTAAATTTTGGAGATTAAACCCTTATCAGAAATATCATTGGCAAATATGTTCTCCCATGCAGTGGGCTTTCTTGTTGTTTTGTTGATGGTTTCTTTTGCTGTGCAGAAGCTTTTAATTTTGATGTAGTCCCATTTGTTTATTTTCTCCTTAGTCTCCATTGCCCTAGGAGCTGTGTCTGCAAAGATATTGCTATGACATATGTCTGCTATTTTGCTGCCTATGGAGTCTTGTAGAATTTTTATGGTTTCCTGTCTTACATTTAAGTCCTTTAGCCATTTTGAGTTTGTTTTTGTGTATGGTGTAAGTTGGTGATCTAGTTTCATTTTTTGCATGTATCTGACCAAATTTCCCAGCACCATATATTGAAGAGACTGTCTTGACTCCATTGTATGCTCTTTCCTCCTTTGTCAAATATTAATTGAGCACAATGGCTTGGGTCTATTTCTGGGATCTTTCTTCTGTTCCGTTGGTCTATATGTCTGTTCTTGTACCTTTACCAGGCAGTTTTGAGAACCGTGGCTTGGTAATATAGCTTAATATCTGGTATTGTCATCCCACCAACTTTGTTCTTCTTTCTCAAGATTGCTGTGGCTCTTTGGAATCTTTTTTTTATTCCAGATGAATTTTTGGAGAGTTTGTTCTAGATCTTTGAAATATGCCGTTGGTATTTTAATGGGAATTGCATTGAATCTGTAGATTGCTTTGGGTAGTATGGAGATTTTAATGATGTTGATTCTACCAATCCATGAACATGGTATGTTCTTCCATTTGTTTATGTCTTCCACTATCTCTGTTTTCAATGTCCTGTAGTTTTCTGGGTTCAGGTCTTTTACCTCCTTAGTTAAGTTTATTCCTAGGATATCTTAATTTTTTTGGTGCAATGGTAAATGGGATTGTTTTTTCTCGTTTCTCTTCCTGTGAGTTCATTATTGGTGTATAAAAAGGCCAGAGATTTCTGGGTGTTAATTTTGTATCCTACTACGTTGCCGAATACATTTATTAGGTCTAGTAGTTTTTTGATGGAGTCTTTGGGGTTTTCTATGTACAGTATCATGTCATCTGTGACTAAGGACACTTTTACTTCTTCTTTTCCAATTCTGATACCTTTGATTTATTTTTGTCTGATCACTATGGCTAGCATTTCCAGTACTATATAGAACAGGAATGGTGAGAGTGGGCATCCCTGACTTGTTCCTCTTCTTAGGGGAAATGGTGTTAGTTTTTTCCCATTGAGTATGATGTTGGCTGTAGGTTTGTCATATAAGACTTTTATTATGTTGAGGTATGATCCCTCTATTCCCACTTTGCTGAGAGTTTTTATCAAGAAAGGGTGTTGGATTTTGCCAAATGCTTTTTCTGCATTGATTGATATGATTATGTGATTTTGGTCTCAATTTGTTTATGTGATGTACAACATTTATTGATTTGTGGATATTGTACCATCCTTGCATCCCTGGAATAAAACCCACTTGGTCATGGTGTATGATCTTTCTAATGTAATGCTGAAGCTGATTTGCTAGAATTTTGTTGAAGATTTTAGCATTTATGTTCATCAAGGATATTGGCTTGTAGTTCTCTTTTTTGTGGTGTCTTTATCTGGTTTGGGAATTAGGGTAATGCTGGATTCATAGAAAGAGCTTGGAAGTGTGCTTCTTGAATTTTTTGGAATAGTCTGAGGAGGATAGGTTTTAGTTCTTCTTTGAATGCTTGGTAGAACTCCCCTGTAAAGCCGTCCAGACCAGAGCTTTTGTTTGCTGGAAGATTTTTGATCACTGCTTCTATTTATTCAGTAATTATCACCCTATTCAGGTTTTTTTATACTTCCTGATTGAGTTTTGGGAGCTTGTATTTTTCTAAGAATATGTCCATTTCATCTAGGTTGTCCATTTTG